TCATTACCCTTTTTTTAATATCAAATATATAATAAATATTTTAATTTATTGAATAACCATTTGACCTGCTCCGTTTCCGACCTGGGCCGGTTCACCCCTCCTTAGGCAACCTGGTGGTCCTCCACTCCCGGAGGGTCACCATATTGATGCCAAACTTAGTGTGGACACCCGATCGGCATAGCGCACTACAGCCCAGAACTCCTGGACTCAAGAGATCCTCTGGCCTCAGCCTCCCGAGTAGCTGGGACTACAGGCGTGCGACACCACGCCTGGTGGTAGGGCATTTGCCTTACAAGCGGCCAACATGGCCGACCCGAGTTCGATTCCTCTGCCCCTCTTGGAGAGCCCGGCAAGCTACCAAGAGTAGATCTCGCCCGTGCGGCAGGGCCTGGCAAGCTACCTGTGATGTATTCGATATGCCAAACACAGTAACAACAAGTCTCATGACAGAGACATTACTGGGCCCGCTAGAGCAAAATCGATGAACAACGGGAGGACCGACCGACCGGACCGAATCACCATTAATTACAAAGTTCACTTGATCACTTGACATCCCATTACTCATCAATTTGCTTGAGCGGGCGTCCATAACGTCTCCATTTGTCCCTGTCGCATGCTAGTGTAGCCAAATGGTGACTGCTTGTTCTAGGAACATGAAGAGCCTCAAACCGATCATTCAGAGTCTTGATGAAGAGGTCTGACCATCTTGTAGGTGGGCAGCCACGCGGTCTTATGACATCCTGTGGAATCCAGCCAGTAACAGCTCTAGTCCAGTGGTCGTCTTCAAATCTCATTACATATTCAGCCCATTTGATTTTCGACGCCCTGACAAATGAGACAGTGTCCCTGATTCTTTTTTTTTCACTAAAATTATAGTTTATTTGCTTGTAATATTTTATTTTATTTTTTTTAATTTTTATTAGTAAAACACCTTGAGGTATAGTTGTAGACTTACAAATTTTTGTGCTTGGGTTTCAGTTATACAATGATCGAACACTCATTCCTCCACCAATGCCCATTCTCCACCGCCACTGATCCCAGTATCCCTCCCACCCTCCGAATGCCTAATGGTTCAGTCCTTTTGGAAAACAGTATGGACGACTCTCAAAAAATTAGAAATTGAGCTCCCATTTGACCCAGCAATACCACTCTTGGGAATATATCCCAGAGAGGCAAAAAAGTATAGTCGAAGTGACATCTGCACTTGTATGTTCATTGCAGCACTGTTTACAATGGCCAGAATCTGTAAAAAACCTGAGTGCCCGAGAACAGATGACTGGTTAAAGAAACTTTGGTACATCTACACAATGGAGTACTATGTAGCAGTTAGAAAAGATAAAGTCATGAAATTTATATACAAGTGGTACTACATGGAAAGTATCATGCTAAGCAAAATGAGTCAGAAAGAGAGGGACAGACATAGAAAGATTGCATTCATCTGGGGAACATAAAGTAACAAAATAGGAGACTAACACCCAAGAATAGCTGAGATAAGTATCAGGGGGTTTACTCCATGGTTTGAAGGCCAGCCGCACATGCTAGGGGAAAAGGCAGCTCAGATAGGGAAGGGAGCACGGAATAAAGGGTGTTGGGAGGATCCTCCCAGGATGGGAGATGCATGCTAAAAGAACAAAAGGGAAAGCCCTATCCCTGATTCTTGACCATTGATGGAGGTTGGAACTCTGGCGTCTTTCTCTCATTTGAGTGAAACGTGATACTCCAAGCATAGCTCTTTCAATTCCTCTTTGGGAGACCCAAATAGCGTTCTCATCCTATTCTTGTGGGGCCCAGGTCTCTGAGGTGTATGTTAATGCAGGAAAAACAATGGAATAGAAGAGATGTGCCCAGAGCCAGAGGTTCTTCGTCCTCTTAGCTATTTCTTTGACGCTCTTTAAGGTATTCCAAGCCGCTCTCTTCCTCCTGAGCAACTCAGGTGTCAGGTCATTCGTCATGTTGACTTCTCGACCTAGGTACACATAACTGTTGCATTCAGAGATGGTTGTCCTGTTGAGAGAGAATGGAACATCAGGAACGAGACTTGTTTCTCATAAACATTATCTTCGTGAGATTCAGTTGCAGTCAGACCTTTCCACACTCATGGTCAAAGTCAGCCAGCATTTGTGCCGCTTGGCTAATGTTTGGTGTTATTAGAACGATGTCTTCAGCAAACGCGGTGTAGTTGCCGACCATCTATCTTCACTCTCATTCCTTTCCATTCCAGTCATCGCATGACGTTCTCGAGGGTGGCACTGAAGAGTTTCGGTGAAATGGTATCACCCTGCCGAACATCACTCTTGACGTCAATGATCACCTCCCAGTAGAATGGTGAAGTTCTGGTGAACCCGTAATACAGCTCATGGAGGATCCTGATGTATTGAGTTTGAATGTCCTGATTGGCTAGGGCTTTGATGACCGCTTCCATCTCAATAGAATCAAAGGCCTTCTTTAAATCAATGAACGTTAGACAAAGTGGCATATTGAACTCCCGAGAAACCTCAATGAGCTTGGTTATCGTGTGGATATGGTTGATGGTGCTGAATCCTTTGCAGAACCTGGCTTGCTCGCATGGTTGTCCTTCATCTAGTGTTCTGCCAATCCTATTCAGGATGACTCAAGTGAACAGATTGTAGATAACAAACAATAGGAAAATTGGGCGATAGTTGCCAATGTCGTGGATGTCTCCCTTCTTGTACAGTAGTACAGTCCTGCTGGTTTTCCATTGGGACGGAACCTCGTGTTCAGATAGGTAGCTTGTGAAGAGCCGAGCCAGTGTATTGATGAGTACTGACGGCAGGTTTCAGGTGTTTAGGTCTGACCTTGTCTGGGCCAGGTGCTGTTCATTTTTTTACCGAGGAAATGGCGTGTCAGATTTCGGAAGGGAGAACGTTGGGAACGGCATATCCATCCTCTGGAATTTGGTATGTGGGCAGGTGGACGTAGCTATCAAAGAGATCTGAGTAGGAGTCATGGATAATCTCCATTGCCTTACTGGAAGATGTCGTAGATCCATCAGGACGTCGGAGGACAGTCATCTTGGTCTTGTAGTTGGCGAAGGACAGGCGGGCATTGCAAATGCTTTTCCCGGCTTCTGCCGCATCTACCAGAACTGCTGCTCTTCTCTCTTTGAGGTCTTCCTTTGTATAATTACAAAGTTATGAAGATATTTTTGATTGAGCTTCAGGTGTATAATTTTCTAACACCAATTTTTTTACCATTGCCCATTACCCTCCACCAGTGTTCCCAGTTTCTTCCCTTCAAATCCCACCTTAGGCATGCTTCTCTGGCAGGCACTTCGCCCCCTACTCCCTACCACATAGTCCTAGTGTTCCAGTCCAGAATTTATATCCTCACTCACCCCCCCCCCCCCACACACAAGTGGTGTGCTTTCAACTGAAAAAGGAAGCTTCTACTCTTTGTTTCTATTGAATTTGGGCATTTGATATTCCTGTACAAAATTTCTTTATATTGCACATATATCCCTCTGCCTGATTTCATTCAACACGATAATCTCCATATCTACCCACATTGCAGAAAATTGTATGACTTTTTCTTTTCTTACAGTTGAATAGTATTCCATTGTGTGTATGTACTATTATTTCTTTATCTAGGGGCTGGAGTGGTAGCACAGCAGTAGGGTGTTTGCCTTGCATGCGACTGACCTGACCGACCTGGGTTCAATTCCTCCACCCTTCTCAGAGAGCCCGGCAAGCTACCGAGAGCCTGGCAAGCTCCCCATGATGTATTCAATATGCCAAACGCAGTAACAACAAGTCTCACAATGGAGACGTTACTGGACCCGCATGAGCAAATAGATGAACAACAGGAGGACAGTGACAGTGACAGTCTTCTATTAGTGGTCATTTGGTCTGTTTCCTTCCATATTTGGGCTATTGTATAGCGCTTTTGAGCCCTTGCGTTGTGGAATTGCTGGGTCATATGGAAGCTATATTCCTAATTTTTTGAAGAATGTCCATATGATCTTCCATAAAAGTCTGGATCAGTTGATATTCCCACTGGCAGTGAATGAGGGTCCTTTTCACCCCACATCCTCGACAACACTAGTTGTTGTTCTTTTTGATGAGTGCCAGTCTCTAATGTGAGGTGATTTCACATTGTCTTGACTTGCATTTCCCTGTTGGTTAGTGACATAGAGCATATTTTTAATATACTTTGTAGTTATTTGCATTTCTTCTTTGAAGAAGTTGCTGTTTATCTCTTCCTCCTTCCCCCACCACACACACACACACACACACACACACACACACACACACACCATGCCTTTTAAGGCCACTTCCCCATTACCTCTTGGTAATCTCAATTCTGTGGTCATTCTTTAGTCAACATTGTCTGTTCCTTTACATACCACGTAAGAGTGACATCATCCGGGTTAGTTTTAGTCTCCTTCTGACTACCTTTTTGCATAAACCCTTCCAGTTCCATCCAATTGTAAAAAAAGGCAAGATTTTATTTTTTCTAATAGTTAAGTAGTATTTTATTTGGTGTATATATAACATATACTTTATCTATTGTCATTGGGTATTTCGATTGTTTCTAGATCTTGACTCTTGTAAATAATGATTCAATGAACATGGAAGTACATGTATCTCTACAAACTAGTGTTGTTTTTTTTGTGTGTGTGTGTGTGTCCTTGAGATAGAAACTTAGGAGTAGAAGCATATGGTCGTTATATTTTTTAATATTTTGGAGAAATATCCAGTTTTCCATAGAGCTCGGACCAAATTTACATCCTCACCAACAATGTATAAAATTCCTATTCTCCACATTTCCATCAGGACTTCTTGTTTCTGGCATTTTGATATAGGTCATTCTCACAGGTGGGAGGTAATAGTTCATTGCTGGTTTTTTTTTTTTTTTACTTGAGCACGCACACTTCAGAATAGGTGCATATGTGTATTGACACACATGCACACGGTGCCTGACACAAGTCACTGGCATTTCCCCCACCCTTTTTTTTTGTGTGTGTGAATGTCAGGCTATAGAAAAATATGAAATGCTTCACAAATTTGCATGTCATTCTTCCATAGGGGCTATGCTAATCTTCCCTGTATCATTCCAATTTTAGCTTATGCGCTGCCGAAACAAGCACTTTATTGCTGTTTTGATTTGCATTTCCCTGATAATAAATAATAAGCATTTTTTCATTTACCTATTGACTATCTGTACATCTCCCTGAGTCTACTGTCTGTTCTGCTTTTGAGCCCTGGGTTTCATCTGGGTCTCCACGGAACAGAGGGTGGTAATGAGTGGAAGTCCATCACAGCATGGGGACAAGGCAGAAGTCTGGAGGCAGCAGGCAGCTGGTGGACACAGGTGGAAAGGACATTAGCTTCCAGTGACTCTGCCGATTGGGGATGATGGTCACTGAGTGTTCGAACTCACTAGGAGAGTTTGCTTTGAGGAAGACTCTTGCTTACTGTTTAGATTTTCTTGCTTTTGCTTGACTTGACTTAACTTTTGGATTCAGTCATGGACATTATATGACTGTAAAAATCCATTTCTTCTAGGTTTTTCACCTTATGGTGTAAAGATGTGTTTTTGCTCTTACAATTCTTTTTATTTCTGAGGTATCTGTTGTTTACTCTTCCCTTTTCATTTTTTTATTCCATTTATTAGGTTTCTCCTATCCTTCCTTCCTTCCTTCCTTCCTTCCTTCCTTCCTTCCTTCCTTCCTTCCTCTCTTTTTTCTCTTTCTATTACTCTTTCTCTTTCTCTTTCTTTCTTTCTTTCTTTCTTTCTTTCTTTCTTTCTTTCTTTCTTTCTTTCTTTCTTTCTTTGTCATACCCGGCGATGCACAGGGGTTCCTCCTGGCTCTGCCCTCAGTAATTACTCCTGACGGTGCTCAGGGGACCATATGGGATGCTGGGAATCGAACCCGGGTTGACCATGTGCAAGGGAAATGCCCTATCTGTTGTGCTGTAGCTCCAGCCTTTCTTTCTTTCTTTCTTTCTTTCTTTCTTTCTTTCTTTCTTTCTTTCTTTCTTTCTCTTTCTTTCTTTCTTTCTTTCTCTTTCTTTCTTTCTTCTTCTCCTTCCTTCCTTCCTTCCTTCCTCTCTCCCTCCCTCCCTCCCTCCTCCTCCCCTCCCTTCCTTCCTTCCTTCCTTCCTTCCTTCCTTCCTTCCTTCCTTCCTTTCTTTCTTTCTTTCTTTCTTTCTTCTTCTTTTGTACAGCAAAAGGTTTAACAATCTTGCCTTTTCTTTCAACGAATCAGCTACTGCAGTAGAAAAATGGACCAGGACAAATGACAAATGGTCCATGGTTGGAAACCTCCCTCAAGGGCTGGAGGAGAGGGCAGTTGGGACAGAGAAGGGACCATTATGACAATAATTATTGGAAGGGATTAATCTGAATTGGAGATATGTGTTGAAAGTGGGAAAACGACCAAAAATGACAGAATTTCAGTATCAGTATTGCAAACAATAAAGCCCAAAAGGGAGGAGAGAGAGAGAGAGAGAGAGAGAGAGAGAGAGAGAGAGAGAGAGAGAGAGAGAGAGAGAGAGAGGCCTGCTATAGAGGCAAAGTGAGAATGAGGGTGGGGTGGTGGGTGGTGGAAGGAATACGGGGGGCATTGGTGGTGGGAAATGTACACTGGCGGAGGGATGGATGTTGGAACACTGTATGACTGAAAATAAGGAAATCTTTGTAACTGTATCTCAAGTTGATATGGTGATTCAACAACAACAATAAAAATTTAAAAAAATATCAGCTCCGGGGGGTTCATTGATTTTTTTGTCTTGTCTTTTTTGTTGTTTTTCATTTGTTTGCACTGATTTTTATTATTTCCTTTTTTAACTGTCTTTGGTTTCATATGTTCTTCTTTTTCTAGTTTCTTAAGTTGTACGATTAGATTGCTTATTTCAGTTTCTTCTTGTTTCTTGGTGTAAGGCTGTATCCTACAAACTTCCCTCTTCATACAGCTTTAGCTGTCTCTTAGTTCTTCTAACCCATGTCTTCATTTTAATTTCCAGGAACTGTCTTAGTTCCTCTTTGGTGTACTCATTAGCTGATTATTTTGTAGCATGTTGCTTAGTCTCCAGATGTTTGAATTTGGTTGATTTCTAGTATTATTACACTGTGATCTAAAAAGAAACTTGATAGTAATTTGCTCTTCAGGAATCTATTGGCACATTTTATGTTCCGCCATGTGCTTTACCCTCAACAATGTTGTACTATAGAAGAAGCATCTTTGTTTTGAGAAAGGGAGTGGAGGACCCTGTAATTGTCTATTAAACCTCTTGTCCAACTCTTCTTCATTTCAGACTTCTATTTCCTTGATTTTTTGTTTGGTTGTCTATTGGTGAGAGTGAGGTGTCAAACTTCCCTTTTAGTATTACATGCTGTTAATGCATTCGTCAGTCCTCTTAGTAGTTGCTTTTTATGTTGGTTGCTCCTTTGTTTTGTGCTTATAGGTAATAGAGTGTGAGGTCCTCTTACTCTATTACTCTCGTAAGCATTATTTGTCTTTCAATGTACTTGTTTCTCAATGTTAACTTTTTTAAAATTTAAAATCTATTTTATTTGAGCTAAGTGTGTCTTAGTCCTTTTTAGGCCATCATTTTCTAGTGCAATTACTTTCTAGTCTTCTAGTTTGCTTACCAATTTTTACCATTAGAACTAAATTTTGCCTCTGACAGACAGCAGAATATTGGGTTTTGTTGATTGATATCTCTGGCTACACTGTACTTTTGGTTGGTTAAGGCATTCAGTATATTGATATTTAAGTTATGGATATAATTAATTTTTATTTTTCTCTGTAGGTGATGAGTGATACTGAAGTTTAACTTATGTTCTTCTGTTCTTTCATTCTTTACCTTGTACTTCAATGTCTGCTTGTTGTGTAGTGCTGACTTCCATTTCCTTCTTCTTATTTATTTGATCTAAGTATTTGGATTTGAATTTATCATAAGGTTTATACCTAGAGTTCTAAGCTTATAATGCATTCTGAATTGAGAGTAAGAAAATTTTGAGTTTGCTCCAAGAGGCACCCATATTCTCCTTCTTCTTTCTCACATATTATGTTTTAGGTATCTTTCTACTTCCTTGTAGGTTTTCTTTTCTTCTCCAGCATGTCTTGCATAGCTGGTTTAATGACGATTATGATGATAAATTCTTTGACTATTATTTGTCAAAATGTTTTAATTCTTCCTTTAAGTTTGAGTGATAAACCCACTAGACAAAATGTTCTTTTTCTTTTCTTTTTTTTTAGCTGTACTTGGCAGTGCTCAGGGATTACTCCTGGTTCTGAACTCAGGAATTACTCCTGGTGGTGCACAGGGAACCATAAGGGGTGCCACGGATTGAACCTGGTTTGGTTGGGTGCATGGTAAGTGCCTTACTCACTGTACTATCTCTGCAGTCCCCCAGGAGATAGAATATTCTGGTTGGGAGATTTTTTCCACTGAACACTTGGAAAATATCATGTCAAAAGTTGGAATCTATCACTCAGCCATTTAGAACATATTGATTTTAGCCTACACAGTTTTAGTTGAAACTAATTGTCTTATAGGATGGGTATTACTTATATCTGATTGTTGGTGCTTTTAGAATTCTCTATCTTTGCCTTTGTACATTTTAATTCTAATAGGTCTTAGTGTCTCTGTGTTTGGAGTTTATAAAGCTTGTTGGGTCTTTGTCTATATCCTTCCTCAGCTTGGGAGAGTTTTCAACCAATTTTCCATTGAACAATAATTCTGCCTCCTTTCTGCATCTTTTATTTCTGACATCTCTATGATGTGAAAACTGCCCTTATTAATGATGCTCTATAAATTTCTTATGTAAAACTTATTTTTAAAATTCTTTTTCTGGGGCTAGAGAGATAGCACAGTGGGTAGGGCGTTTGCCTTGCATGCAGCCGAACCGGGTTCGATTCCCAGCATCCCATATGGTCCCCTGAGCACCATCAGGAGTAAATCCTGAGTGCAGAGCCAGGAGTAACCCCTGTGCATCGCCAGGTGTTGCCCCAAAAGCAATATATACATATATATATATTCTTTTTCTTTTTTTTTTCTTTTTGGGCCACACCCAGAGATGCAGGGTTACTCCTGGCTCTACACTCAGGAATCACTCCTGGCGTGCTCAGGGGACTATAATGGATGCTGGGAATCAAACCAGGGTCAGCCACATGCAAGGCAAATGCCCCACCTACTGTGCTATTGCTCCAGCCTCCTTTGCTTCTCTTTTTTGATGATTTCTTGTACCTTATCTTCAAGTTCATGAAGTTGTTCTGCAGGTCCTGTCATTCTGCTTTCAGTCAGTAATAGTACTTCTGGTTTTTAGCTCACTGATTGTGTTTGAATTATCTCAGGCCTCACATACATGTTCTGTTCTGTATTCTCATTTATTTATCTCCTCCTGGTTAGTATCATTAGGGACAGTGACTTTTAGTCTTCACCAAAGGGTTTATATGGCAGTGATTTTTTCTTTGTATTTCTTAGGAGTTTATTTCTGTCTATAGTGCAGGTGAATTTTGTACGGAGCTACTTGTGGTACAGGAGTGAGGATCCTGGTTTAAAGGGACTTGGGTGTTGACTGTGATTTACAGTTGATTGCAACTGCCAAACAGCAGCTATAGCTCTGACTTCGTGATGTGAGTAGCTAATAGTGGCAATAGTTAAGCAAGCTTAGATTTCAACTTATGTAACAGTATTATTAGTACCCCCTAGCAATTGTGGTGTCTAAGTCAAGTGGTCCCTGGTCAGGGACTGGGAGCTGGTGGTCCAATAGTGGCTGTAACACAATGAAGTTCTATGCGGCATCTGTGAGATTTGCTCTCATTGTCTTTTTTGGCAGCAACTGTTGTACTTAGTCTGAGGGTTTTCAGGCAATATTTAGAAGTATGAGGTTTCTTGTGTTTGGCAAGACTGGTGCCAAATATGAGCAGGTCTGGGCTCATATTTGATTGAACCAAGATTGTGGGTGCTTAGGGCATGTATGCAACCAGTTTGAATTTACCTTGACTGTGACCTAGAACTTGAGCATTTTTGCACCAAGTTCTAACAAGCTGAAGAGAATCCATTAACTTACTTAGAGGACTCAATATTTAAGTACCAATGGATACCTGTCCTCCATTTTCAATAACTGTCCCTAGGT